TCCGGATCGTTGATTCGTCCATCCGGATCGGTTTTTTGAAAGCCCGATCAGGGTCACCGATCCGTTTTTTAAACCATTGCATTGGACATATCGTAAAAGAAAACAAAACTTAGTTTGAAGTGGATAAAGATGACTTCATAACAAATCCTCAATTAAATCGCCTATGCAGGGCCTTGAAAATCACATGTATTACAAGATCTTATGTGATTTCATCATACAAAACCAACTTCTTGTATTTTTAAATCACTTTAGGTGCTCATAAATTTTTTAAATAAATTTTAAATTGAAAAATAAATCATTATAATCTATTTGAACTGCTTTTTAACTTCAAAATAATCGGCTTTTAAAGTTTAAATTCCAAATTTTCAGATTCATAAACAAAATTGGTCGACATTGTTGGCCAATAGGCCCACCGTAGGGGTGGGAATCACCGAGACCCGACCCAAGACCCGAGGGTAGACCCAATCTAGGTTCGGGTATTGGTCCAAAATTGGACTTGGCTGATGAGGTTCAAGTCCAAATTTTAGACTCGAACACTTTTCAGATCCGAGTTGGGATCTAGGTCCGATAATATGTATTGGGTCTCAATATATAAAAAATATATTTAAATATTATTAAATACATAAATATTTAAATTTTGGGGTCATGTCCATTGTTCATAAAATCGCCCGATCCAACCCCCCAGTTAGATCGAAACCGGCCAGTGGCCGGTTCCGGTTTTGGGGGTTAGGGTGATCAACCGGTATTTAAAAAACAAATATTAAAAATATATATATAAATTCTCAAAAATAAAAAATTTGATTTGTAATGTATTTTTAAATATTCTTTACATTATGGTAAAGATTCAAAAAAATTTTGATCATTAATACTCACTTCTATATTTTTTCATCTTTTTAAAAAAAAATTAAAAATAGCCCTTGAAAAATGTAAAATAGGTTAAAATCTATTTTTTTCATTAATTTTCAACTTCAACACTATTTTTTAACGCCCGGGACTTGCCTGGTTAGAGCGGTTGAATCGGCTGGTTTACCGGTTAGGCTGGTTGAATCGCTTCAGGGCCCATGTCCGATTAACTGTTGCGATTCAATTTCACAAACATTGGTCAGGTCCGATCGGATCTGATCGAATCGGGATAGGGGTCGGGGTCTGAACATGTCTAGCCGGACAGGACCGCACCGGACCCGTTGTCACCCCTATCGCACCACCAAGGCAAACCGTACAAATCTTGTCTGCGTGCCATTTAATTACCCAACAAACTTTTCTCCTTCTACTTGGTCTCATGTTGCATGTAAGAGAGAAGAAAATTCAGAGAGAGAGAGAAAGTGGACACCAGCGTCGGCATTAGGCGCTGGGTTTACGGTTCTCTTTGGCTCTGCACAATTAAAGCCTGTGCTCCTACCCAACTGTCTCGCTTATTTACAAGGCTCACACCATGGCAATCCTGCACTTCTTCTCCACTGCATCACCCGTTTGTTTTCTCTCGCTGAAACCTTTCTCCAACTCTCTTTCCTCTCTGTCGTTCTACTTTTCTCTCTCCTGAACCTCTGGTTCTCACCACCCATTACTCTGACTCTCCCTCCCCTTCTTTTCCTCTCTCTTTCCTCCTCTGGCTTTAATGAAAGGCGCACCTCCCTCTCTTCCATAAGCCCTCAACAAATCTTTCTCTCTCTAACTTCTCTCTCCTCTGTTTTTTCTCTCTCTACTCACCTCTCTCTCATGGAGGACCCAAGCCTCTATTTTCCACTACCCACCATTAAAACTCTATTGCAGACTTTCTACTCTTCATTTCTCTTTTGTTTTCTCAGGGTATTCCCTCTCTGTCTAGCTCTCCTCTTCGAAACCCTGGTTTTAGTACACAAATGGAGCTTTCTCGGGCATCTCCTCTTCGTCTCCGCCGTGGTTCTGTACACAACACTTGTGTATCATTTCTCACGGCCGGCTCCTGTATACCTAGTCGACTTTGCCTGTTACAAACCACCGAGTCACCTCCAAGTCCCGCTCCATTCCTTCATGGAACACTCATCGAGGTTTGGGTGCTTTGAAAAAGAGAGCGTCGAGTTTATGGGACGAGTCATCAAGTTATCGGGTCAAGGAGAGCGCACCAGCCTTCCTCCCGCTCTTCACTATATCCCACCTCGAACCGGCCATCTCGACTCTGTGGAAGAGGCCCACATGATTCTTTTTTCGGTCATGGAAGACTTGTTAGCCAAAACCCGAGTCAATCCGAGTGAGATCGACGTCTTGGTGGTGAACTGTAGTGGCTTTTGCCCTTCTCCTTCTCTCTCATCCATGGTGATGCACCGCTTCAAACTGAGGGACAATGTCAAGACCTTCAGCCTTGGCGGAATGGGGTGTGGAGCTGGGGTCATAGCCGTCGACGTGGCTCAGACGTTGCTCAAGCTATGCAGCGGCGCTCAGGCCGTCGTCCTGAGCACAGAGATCATGTCGACCGGTTGGTACAGCGGAAAAGAAAGGAAGAAGCTAATGCTCAATTGCCTCTTCCGTATGGGCGGCTCGGCCGCATTGCTACAAAGTGGCCCGCAAGCTGCCCGTGTGGCTAAGTACCAGCTACGGCACATGGTGCGCACCCACATGGGGGCAAGCGACAGGGGCTACTTCTCGGCCATGAGAGAAGAAGACTCGGAAGGAATAACTGGGGTCTCCCTAGAGAGAGACCTGATGCAAGTAGCTGGAGAAATCTTGAGGATGAACATTGGGGCCTTAGGGTCTAGGGTTTTGCCTCTCTCTGAGAAATTTTGGTATTCTTTCTCTCTCTTCCATAAACGTTTCTTGGACCCCAAGACAGAGATCTATGTCCCCAATTTTAAGCTTGTGATACACCATTTTTGCATACCACCCTCTGGTAAAGCTTTGTTGAGAGAGCTTGGGAAGGGCCTAAGGCTAAAAAAAGTGGACTTAGAGCCAGCTCTCATGACCCTACACAGGTTTGGAAACCAGTCTTCTTCTTCACTCTGGTATGAGCTAGCTTACATGGAGGCTAAGGGGAGGGTCAAGAGGGGGGATAGGGTTTGGCAGCTGGGCACAGGGAGTGGACCCAAGTGCAATAGTGCAATATGGGAGTGTATAAGCCCTGTGAACCCACTTGCCAAGGTGGGCTCGGACCCAGCTGGACCCTGGTTCGATTGCATAGACGAGTACCCCATTGCTATGGATGACTTCTAAGTCCAAGGTACTTTGGTTTAGGGTTTGCATCTAGGATTAGGGTTTGGTCCTGGATTTTGCATGGTAGGTGGATTTTTATGGGGGCTGATATTAAATGGTGTGTCGTTGTAAGACCAGTACTAATTGAAGCCTATTTATGTGTCTTTATGGGGCTTATTTAAGCCATGGCTTGTCTCTCTAATTAAAGGCCTATGTACCGTCACTATCAATCTATTTGTGACTTCATGTTAACACAATAAATTTGTAATACTAGAATTTTTGCAGGATATTTTCCTCCATCTGTGGAAGAAATTATCAGGTACAAATCCTTCATGGCTTTAATTATAAAAGAGCCTCACCCCGGACTAGTGTTTGAACCCGGATCAGGAGGTGGGATTGGTAGATTGACCAAGATCGCCCATCCGTCCAAAAAACAAAATTTAGAATGATTTTAGAGTAAATATCTTAGGAGACCCCCCCACACTACAGGATCTCAAAAGATTATCATTAAATTTAGCACAGATCTCTAAGCAAGTTATCACATGAGTATGAGACTTGACTTTTCTAAAGATTTTATACCAAATTTGATGGTGATCTTTTGAGGTCCTACACACTACACACATGGGTGTAGGAGGGTATCATAGGATCATTAGTCATAAGTTTATATGTAAAAAAGAGAAGATATGAAAATTAGAGAACACGGTTTCTATGAATCCATGAACAAATGAGTTACCTCCTAAAAATCTGGTTTTGAGATGGATTTTCTTACTTAATTTTTAAGGACATGTAATCTCAGACATGGAGATCATGAATATAAAAAATAAATAAATTTTGAAAATTAAAAATAATTCTACTAAAAAAGTGTTTGGACCTTTAATTTCAATTGTTTTTAGATGGACCACCTATTAGCATCGATCTTTAAGATGAATGCTTTATACCTCAGATATCGCAAATGTAGAAATGTCGTCCCCGCCCACATAAAACAATTTTCCAAAATTAAATGGGTAGAAACCAGCCGATTTGATCGATCTTGATCGCTCAGTTCGTTGACATTCTCGACCGATTGTTTGATAGAACTGGGTAACCCTAACCAAATTGATTCTCGATTCTGACTAGGATCCGAGTCAGTCCCATCAATTCCCGACGAAGATTGACAATTCCAAACTTCGCACTAAAGTTTGAGAAAAACCATTCCTTTGCATGTATCCACAGTTTCTCTCTCTCTTTCTCTCTCTCTCATGTGGAGTGTATATCAATAACATGGTCAAGCCACTTTGAAGAATCACTGCGGAGATAGTGAGATTAACAATTTTACCAAAAAAAAAATAGATCCCTATAAAAATGGGATTTTGTCTATAAAGAGACCATTTATCTTTGGGTGTGGTTTCTATAAGGTTGCAACCTTAAACAATCCAATTGTTTAATGTTTAAAATTAGGTGTTGTTTCTATAAGGCGCGCTGTTAAATTTTATCACAACATGCAATTTTGGTGTAAAATATTATTAAGATTATCTTAAAATCTATTTTCATATCTAATTATAAAGTTTTAAACTCAAAAAATGATTAAAATCAGGTAGATCTATAAACATAAGAAAATTTTGAAAATAGATTGTCTAGATCATGTGTTGTAAGATGCACTACTTCAGGGATTCAAAAACTTTTTTTTTTTTCATATTCATATATCTCGATATCGAAATGATCAATTAGAGGGTCTTTCAACATTAAAACAACCTTTTCCATGGATTTTTGAGGTGCATATGTAATTCTACATTTTAAGGTTGCAACCTTGCTATAAATGTTTTCCTTTATATTTTGTAAAAAGAGGTCATAATCACATTTATCCCTTAAATTTCAAAATGAGTGTTGTAAGCGTGTCATGAATAGCCATAAAGTTCTAAAAAAAATCTCAAACTTCGCGACTCATCCTAAACCATCCAATTTAACATCTAATGAGTGAGAATAGTAGTGACCTCCTTATACAAAAGATAAATAGTCTCTTTATAGACTTTCCTTTTAAAAAACCTTTCTTTTGGTACCTAAAGGACTTTCTTAATAATACCCAAATTGTAGTGAGCGCAGTTTGGAAATTTGATCCAAATGAGTTAGTTGAGCCAAATGATTTAAATATATGTGTTTGTTCCTTATTCTAAATATATGTGCTTGTTCCATATTGGCATTTTTGGAAATTTGGCTCAATTAATTCAATTGAGTTATATGACCTAAATACCCTTTTTTTTTATGTTGCTTGTTCCCTATTTGAAAAAAGGGACAAGATGGGGAACTTTGGTGATTCAACTCCATAAATCACAAAAGCCAAAAGGTTTAACAACCTTGTTTATTCTAGGCTCTTAATGGTGGAAGAAGATTTTTTTTATTAAAAAACATGTTTAGGGCTTGGAACCTAGAACAAGCATGGGCATTTAGATCATTTTAACTTGAGTAACTTTAGTTTTCAAATATCAAAATACTCTCACTTTCAAGGTTCCAAGTCCAAAAATCTTGAGGAGGCACCTGAGTGAATGAATTTGAGGAATTAACTATATTATTGGTAAATATCCAAATATTGAGGAGGCACCTGAGTGAATGAATTTGAAAAAGTAACTATATTGTTGGTAAATTGAAATGCAACCACCTCATTGATTTTTTGTGGTTTGAATTGTTTAAGTGATGTTTTCATTTCTTTTTTATTTTTTAATAGATTGATTTAGGAATTGAAGATGATAGATTTTGAGAAAGCAAAGATGATGGAGAGAGAGGCAGAGAGAGGAATGGAATATGTGGTCAATTCACATTAACAAGAATGAAACCTTAAAAGGCTTTATATACAATACATATTTAGTTTTAGACCAAAACTACCCTACACAAATATACAAGGACAATAAAGAACAAATTAAATAAAAATAAAACAATTACACTTTATTTATTATATGCATGTTATTACCCCCCTCAAGCTGATGCGGACATGAGTAACACATTGCCTTGTTTATGAAAAAATCATGACGTTTGTAAGTATGAGATTTGGTGAAAATATCAACTATTTGTGCAGTAGAAGAAACATAAGGGATAGATAATGTGTCATGAAGATAGCAATCGTGAACATAATGACAATCCACATTAAGATGTTTTATTCGCTCATAAAAGACTGGATTTGATGCAATTTTAATTGCACTTTGGTTATCTGCATTTAAAGGTGTGGGATCTAAAATATTGAAACCAAAGTCATTGAGAAGAGCATGAACCCAAATAATCTCACTGACAACAGAAGAAATAGCACGATACTCCGCTTCAGTACTTGACTTGGAGACAGTATATTATTTCTTGTTCTTCCATGATATTAAGGATGATCTAAAAAATAAACAACATCCTGTAGTAGAGCAACAAGTGTCTGGATCACCTGCCCAATCTGCATCTACATATACACTGAGATCTCAAGAAGATGTGGAAGCAAAAAATAATCCATGATTGCAAGTACCTCGAACATAATGAAAAATACAGTGAATTGCTGATAGATGTGGTCATCGAGGATCTGAAATAAACTGGTTCACAACATGGACAGCAAATACGATATCTGAGTGTGTCATAGTAAGGTAAATGAGGAAGCCTACGAGTTTGCGATACATTGTAGACTCAGGAAGAGGATCTCCAACAATTGCATAAAGTTCAACATTTAGCTCCATGAGAGTATCAACATCCTTTACATCAGTGAATCGGGCACTAGAAACAAGATCACATGCGTACTTATATTGATGAATATAAATACCACGCTTAGAATAAGTGATCTCAAGGCCATGGAAGTAAGACATTTCCCCAAGGTCCTTCATTTGAAATTCTTCTTGCAATCGTAGCTTTACATCTTTGATGGAAGTAAAATCATCTCTAGAGACTAGAATATAATCAACATATAATAAAATAATACAAATGTCATGTTTCGTGATACGAATAAACATGGAGTGATCATGTTTACTTTGAATGAAACTATTTGCAAGAATGACAACCTAAAAACACTCAAATCATGCGTGAGGAGTTTATTTAAGACTATAAATTGCCTTACGAAGTCGACAGACCAATGATGTATCTAGAGAAGCAAGCCCAGGTGGTTGGTGCATATAAACTTCCTCTTAAAGCTCTCTATTAAGAAAAACATTTTTGACATCCATCTGTCATATGGGCCAATCACAAATTGATGCTAGTGCAAGACGAGTATGAATTGTAATCGTTTTAGCAACAAGAGAAAAAGTTTCCTTATATTTAATGACATACTCTTGGCCATAACCTTGTGCAACTAACCATATTTTGTGTCGATCAAGGGTTCCATCAGCTTGTAACTTAACCTTGTAAATCCATTTACTATCAATAGAATGCTTGTTAGGAGGCAACAGTACTAAGTCTCGAGTATGGTTCGCCTCTAAAGCTGCAATTCCCTCATTCACAGCCATATGCCAACATTGGAGTTTAGATGCCTGAGAATAAGAAGATGACTCATGAAAGAGAGGGTTAGTAGTGGTTATTGAACAACATACATGAGATAAACTAACCACTAGCAAGTTAAGACGATAGGGAGGAACAAACTTATGAAGAGACCGCAAAGTTGCTGAGGGACAGTAGGCGGATCAACAACTGGAGGTGATAAATGATCAACTCTAGGAACAGCAGTCTCATTAGAGTTACAAACTTCCGGACTAGGGATGTCGAATCCAGGTAGGATTGAAAAATCAGATGCATGTGTTGGTGTAGTAGGGTGTAAATAGTGATGATGAAAAGGTATATTTTCAAAAAAAAAAAACATGTCGTGAGATTGTCACACGATTAATAGTAGGATCAAAGCAGCGATACCCCTTTTAATTGATTGCATAGCCCACAAACATAAACTTAGAAGACTTAAGTGAGATTTTATCTCGTGCAAGAGAGGGAAGAAGAACAAAACAAGTATATCCAAACACACACAAGTGTGAGTAACCATGGGATTTTTAAAAGGCTTATGAAAAGGTGAAACATTGTGTAGAACAAGAGTAGGAAGAAGATTAACAAGATACAGAGCAGTGGACATGGCTTCACCCCACATGTTTTTAAGAGAATGAGAGCTTATAAGAAGAGAGTGAACAATTTCAAGGATATGCCAATGTTTTCTTTTGATAACTCCAATATATTCAGGGGTATGAGGACATGAACATTGATGAATAATGCCATTTGTACGAATATATGTTTGAAATTCATTGGATAGGTATTCCCCTCATGAATTAGACCTAAAGACTTTAATA